TTCCTTTTATGTAAACTTGAAGATCCAAAGCAAGGGAGGGGGGTGGGAAGCATTAATTCCTAGTGAACATAGGTTAATATGAAAGTCTTAGCTGTATTAGTATGAGCAATGGGATGCTGTTTTGGTTGAATGCCTCACTGGAGTGTGACTCATTGTTAAGTGTGATGCTTAGCCCTTCATCCTTTGATCCTAAACAAAACCAACCTGTTTTTGAAGAAAGAAACTGTTTAAAAAGTGCTGCCTTTAGCTTTACTTCTGTTCTGTAAAGTATTGCTAGCCAAACTACATAGAGTATGACAAACAAAAATATCTTCTTCAATACTTTTATTTTAATTAAGATGGCTCTGAAGCAATGCAGTGCTCACTTGTGAGATTAACATTTGAAGTGACTGAGCCAGCCTTTACTGTGTAATTATTATAAGACTTTCAGTATAAAATGCTTTGAAGGTTTGAGGGACTTTCTTCACACCTGGAAGAGAGAGTAAGAGAGTCTTCTCTGTAGTAATCAGGCTTTTTTGCTTTTATATTTTTGTTTTTCTTTAAGTGAAATACATTTTCATGAGGACCAAGAAAAAGGAGGTACAGGACCCTGTATCGGCGTGGTATTTATTCAATATATTTTGTTTATGCTTTAGACAATTATGTCACTTACAAGGGGAAGTTTCAACTTCATACTTTGTAATTGGTAGGTTAATCATACAGATTTGAAGATAAATGCATAGCATTTACAAAGGTCTTTAAATGGTCCCAGCACGGTCTTCCTAACAAAAGCTAAGTGCTGTTATTTCCATTTTTAAAGATAAAGACACTGAGACACAGATATGATTTTTATACATGACACGCCTGCAGTTGCAAGTGGGTGATAAATGGAGTCGGATGGACTGGCTAGAGTTGCAGGTTTCTAGTCCAAAGGAAGGGTACCCAAGCTGATCCTGCTGAGGGTCAGGGAAGAAAGCTGCTTGGGTCAGCAAGGGATTTGAATGACCCTGCAGGACAGGGGTCAGCAATGCTTCAGGCATGGCTGGCTTGGTTCAAGGCAGAACTGATCACTGCAGCTTCTCTCCACCATCTGGACAACAGCTCATGGCTCTGTGGGCCGCAGGTTGCTGACTCCTGCTGTAGGATTCTTTTTTTGTAGTTGGAGCATTGCAGGAGGTGCAATCACATGCTCTTCACTGCCATCTTCCTTCTAAACATCTCCAAAATAGAGAGAGTGAGTGAGAGTGTGACCCATATGTGCACGCCTGGATTACAGACTCCGCCTTCTCTGAGGTGGATGTATTTCTGTTCCTACGCTGCAGTTCCTCCTCATCTTCCTCCATTCTGAGCTTGGTTTCATGTTTTGTTGGTTTTGATATGTACTGACAACTTCTTGTTCATTTGAACACAAACTTCCTCTTCAGCACTAGAGAGAACCATCTTGACAGGTGCACCTGACACCCAACCCATATGTGTGCTGCTTCCCATGGCTGGGTTCATGATCAAGTGGGTATTTCAGAAAACCTGGGCACCTGGCCTAGGCCTTGCACTCCTTGTGACAGTGACAACTTGCTTTGTAGCAGTAGTGACTTGTTAGGAATGGGAGTGCTGCCACGGCCCTCGTTACAGCTAGTGTCATATTGCCCTCTGCATTGCATGTGTGGTAATAAAGGTTGTATAACCTGATGGCATGTCACAGGGCACTGGAAGTGCGTAAATAAAAATGGTGCATTTGATAGTAGTAATGGTGAGATTATTGATCAGATCTGCAACATGCAGTCTAGTTGGTTTGTAAACTTGCTGCTGTCCCAGAGTCCTGTGCAGCTGGCAGGGGTCTCTGGGAAGTTGGGGTAGACTCTGGCTTGGGACCTGTCTTCTTTTGGGTTGCTTTGTCATTTTTGTTCCAGTCAGTGTCTTATCTCCTGATACTTGTACTTTGCTTAATGACCCCCTTTTTAAGAACAGTTGTCCTATATTCAGCAACGTCCCTTGTTGGGGTAGGCAAACGCCACATCTTCTCTTCAAGAGAATTGTTTTCCCCAGGATAATTTATGTTAAAGTGTCACTGACTTTATTTTTTGTTTCTTTCTAGACTGACTGCATTGCCATGGAAACCATTGTTAGAAGACTTTTCTGCTGGTAGCTCCAGAAACGGTGTGGTGCTTTTGGAAGCAGAGCTCAACTCCAGCCAGCTATTTTCACTTCCACCAGCACAGACATAGACACACATCTTTTTAATGGTTTTTCATAGACATCAGCTGTTGACAGTTGAGTTAGTTTGAATTAAGATTTTTTCATAGCTGTGCTTTGGTGTTGGAATTTGGTTTTCCCCGGCTTATCTACATGGAGGCAACGTGAATACTGAAGAGGAGAGATCCTGCAGCTTCCCCCTCAGCCTCTCCCCTTGATTTGTTTTTATTCATATTCTGAGAAGTCAAGGCTGGTGGCTGATAGTCTATTTAGCATGGGTTTTGCTTCTCTGGTACATTTAATAAGTGATAGCTTCACCATGCATTGTTTAGAAATATTTTTACAGTTGAGAGAATTTTTTTGAGGGGAATAGTGGGCTGGCTGGGAGGGGAGAACCACCTAACTGAACCTAAGTCTATGATGAAGAGACCTCTTCTTGGTTTTTCACTTAGTTTGCTTATGATACAAGAGGTGTTTCTTGATCATAGCTCTTAGTATTTTAATGGTATGTCTGTCAGAGCTTAAACTGAAGTTTGTGGCTTCAAATTTTGGTATGTACAAAGTAGGATTAATGGGCTGGTTATCTTTTATATTTCCTTTTTTTCTTTTTCCTCCTAGTTATTTGTTTATAGATATGAATTGCAAACATACGAAGCTTCTGTTCATGAATTCAGATGGGGAAAGTGCAGAATCTTCTACAGCTTTCTATGATTTCTGCATTGTAATGTTTGTGTGCGGTAGCTTTTTAAAGAGAAACCACCCTAATTGATCTTACTGTCAACCAAAGTCCTCTTTTAATTTGGGACCATGTTTGTTTTGTATAACGAGGGGGGAAAAGTAAATAGTTGGCTCACAAACTAATGCTGTCCTTAGCATTCTGCCTAAAAATGCAAACCATGTTTATTTGAAATTTAAAAATGAAATGTAGAAAAATCAGGGCTAGGTGCATCACTCTTACACTGATTTTGGTTGAAATCAGTTTAGGCTTTTGTTAACACTGCTAAGATCTTTAAAAAGCATGACACTAGTTGGTACATGCAATGTATTATAATAATAAAAAGGCACTGACTGTAGATAAAGGGTTTAAAAGTGGTACACAAATCCTCATGCTGTACTGCACCACACAGCTGGTAATCCTCGACATGGTATATTGTACAAGTGTTTCGTAGGGCCGCCTCACCTGACATACAACCTTTCAAATGCTAGTACAGTGTGTATAACGAATAAGACACCGTCAATTTTGCTGTTCAGTGATGTGTACCTAAATCTGTTTTTGAGTAGTCTTAAAATGTACGTCACTAAACTATGAAGACCTTTTTGCAGAAGTAGTTGGTATCAGTCAGTTTATGCAGTATCCAACAACAGGAAATCTGTTTCTGCAGAGTTTAAAAGCACAGACCTGTTTTTGAATCTGGAAGAGAAGTTGTAGTTGGTACAGTACTTTGTTGCTGATAAATGTACTCTGATAATTTTAAAAATATTACCACTTTTATAGAACATAATACTATCTTGCCATCTAGCTTTTTGGGGTTTTGGTAAATGAATGATGCAATGTGTAGAGAGCTTTTTAAAAAGCTTTACATCTATTTTTTTTAAATAAATTGAAATTTGGATGAAGACACTAGTTCAAAAAACATCTAATGTGAAAGGAAAAAGGTTGTGTTGAAGAAAAAGGATGTGTTACATACATTATTTCATATTAGGTCCTGAGGCTGCCATTGTACAATATACAGCACTGATTCAATACATGCTGAATAAATAGGTAAATGGGTAACCTCAAGTATAGTGGTACAAATACTAACAGGTACGGCATAATAAATATGCAATCTTTTTGAATCTCTTAGTTTACAGCAACTAATTTATTCAGTATTGTGCTGGAAGAATGTTTTCAAAATATGTAAAACATATCACTGTGTATACTACCTTCCAGCTACCCGTTTATGCTGCTGTATAATACAAAAATACCAATGATGGAACAATGTTTGTCCTGTAAATTTAATTTGATATTGGACAGTTATTGTCTGTACAAACTAAAACATATATGGTTGAAACTGTTCATTATATTTGCTATTTCTGCTTCACAGATCTGTTTAAAAGTTGAGCTGATCGATCTGGCTTTGTCTTCCATTGTAAATATTATTACATTGTTTTCTTTGTAAACACATCGCATTTGCGGTTTTGGGAGACTGGCTTGAAGCTCTGTATAGTGTTTATATTTATCTGACTTGGCTTTCCATAGAGCTACTTGCAGTAAATAAGTGTTCATGTAGCTCCACGAGTGCGAGTCTTACTTTATCAAAGTGTGTGTGTGTGTGTGTGGGGGGGGGGTTGCTAGTATTTTGGGGTGTTGTCATCACAGTATTATTATACTGTTCTGGAGCTTGAATCTGATACAATGAACCTGCTTTTCAGACCACCAGAAATCAAATCCCGCCCCCCTTTTCAATAGTCTAAACTGTAAATGATTGCACCAAACCATTGAGAGCTCTGTCTGTAACAGAATCATGGTGCGAAGAGGACAGTAGGTTTTGAATGAAATATTGGCTCAGGTATTGGTACTGTGAGCTTAGAGGGAAGTGATGGGACTATTCAGACTAACTTCCACACCCATGGATAGACATTATCTGTAAATAATCCGAACAACATACCATGGGCCTGACCTCTTTGACATTTGGTTGCAAGAGGGAGCAGCCTTGTTGTGCTGGTGAACATGCTGTCAGTTCTTGTTTCAAAGACAGGCTGAAGGAGGCCTGTGCAATGTTTTAAATTGGGGCTAGCCATCCAGGTTCCACCTCTAATGTGATAGGTTGTAAAAACTTACTGTCTCTCCAGTTTAATGTTTAAAGCACGAAGAAAATACTACCTTGTTTTGCATTTTTTTTTATATATAGACCTTCTGAAACAGGAGCTAGTTCAAAATAAGTGTGTGTTGAACTAATTACTGCCCAGAAATGAATTCCCTCATTTTTCTCCATGAATGAGACTTGTCATGGTAACTCTGCATCTGTGCCTTGAATTCTCAAGATGCTTAGCTGAAATCTTACACTTCTGTTCTGTAAATTAATGTACTAAACTGAATCGCTACAAAAATACGGTCCTCTTAAGTTTTCTGTAAAAATAGGATTGTTCTAACTAGTCCCTTATTCAGGGCCTCATTTTATAGAAAGCACTCTGTGCTGCAGAAGAAAAAGAAAACAGTACTTCTTGTACATGGTAGAAACGGCCATAGAAGCAGTAAATAAACAGTGAAAATTATCCAAACACTGTCAAGACTGTTGCAACACTCGCACAATAACTGCTTAAGAGGCCTTTGCTGTTAAAGGGTTCATTAGACCTGAACTATGCTAAATGCTTTAGTTTTTCAAGGACTTTGCTTTGCTCATAGTTTCAAACCCATCTGGGTGACTAGCAGACAAAACTGTATCAGCTTTGAACCAGGGAAAAGCCTTCAATCAAAATCAGAAGGCAATTAGACTGTTAGGATTTGAAGGCAATGATTAAGGCGTCTATTAAAAAGAGGGATGTTGCTAAGTGTGTCCTTTTTTACTTTTGTCGTCAAAACTTCTCAGATTTCCCAGCTGTAATGCACACGTGGTGCCCAGCAAACTTGTAGAAATGTTATGGAAATAAGTAATTGTGCAGTAGACTGAGAGGCCACAAGTTTTTTTTCTTTCTGGTTTTTTTTTCTGATTGTAGAGCTGAAGTCATTCAAGTGTTGACATTATCTGGCAGTTTTATGTGCTTTTTTTTTTTTTTTTTTTTTTTTCCTGTGTGTTT